CCAGGCTTGTAACTAAAATGTCACTTATTCATTTAGGTTATTAACGTACGTTTATATCAAACGAGAGCGTATTAAGAAATCCACGTTGATCACAATCTAACGATTCATACAATTGTGAATTCATAAATACGAGCCAGTAAAAATAGGATTCTTTTGTCGTATGTGTGACTCTATCGGATGGTAATATGTCTCGCACGTGATTGTAAAGTCCTAGTATTTCTATGTAGCTTCACATATGAGTAATTTTTCGCGGAAATATTAGGTGCATGTAAAAGCGGGAAGGATGGACAGAAATATATAAGGAAGCGATAAAACTAGTTATTAGATAATAATTATTATTGAATGTTGTGGCTAAATTTTTGCGAAAGTTTTTTTTTATATTATACTGGATTATTCCTTTGATTGCATGTATATGCCTCTTGTTTACTTTAATTTCGAGAATTTGAGCATACTAAGGGAAGCCTCACATATCGATTTTGTCCATGAGAAACGTCATATGTTCGTTTCTCTGGAGACCCCCCCACCCCCCCTTAGAAACGTCACACATAGTTATCGATATTTTGTTCTTATAGTACACATAAGGTAATTTTCTACTATTTTTTTCGGTCGGCTATTGGCGATGCTTCCGCGAGGAATATGTCATCTTCTGCTGACATACTTTTTTTTTATTAATATATATGTGAACTTCAAAATTTCCAACGTTTCTCAAAACAACTTTTTTGCATGAAATATTGATAATTTTAGCGCGTATTTCTTGAAATTTGAGTGTTTTCAAATGCAAAGAAGGCGTAATAATATAAATGTATAGGTATAGAACAGGTATGGTATTACGAATATATAGACTGCTGTTTGTATCAAATTGTTTTCTTTTTTATACTCTGCAAAGATAAAAACTATCGATTTTTTCCATGTTGTTTACAGAGAAACGTCACAGCTGCCAACCCCCCCACCCCCAAACGAACATATGACGTTTCTCGTGGAAAAAATCGATATGTGAGGCTTCCCTAAATTATGTTTAATTCGCAAATATTGTTTGCTTTATGTTCCGATACACAGGAAATGAAATTAGTTCAGCCGTCATAGGCGTACGGGCGGGAAAAAATCAGGGAGCCAGAAAGAAATTTACCCGATTTTTTACCCACTGAATAAAATTTTCCGTGTAACTAAATTTCCAAAATTGTCGTTGGGAAATGGGAAGTAGACAAAAATATTTTCCTATTTGTCGATTCCTCGTTACTTCTACATATTTCTGGTATTTTCAAATACCATAATGCATGTACTGTCTTCTTTTTAAATTTATTTCTCCCAATTTTTGCCCGAAATTATCCGTTTATAATTTGCATGACTTTATTTTGACTGGGGAGCGGGACTGCCTCCCCCTCCCCCGCTCGCCCGTACGGCTATAATCAGCCGTTGTTACGGATCAGTTATATATTGTGTTAAAAGTTTTTTGACTTTGTTGTTTCTGATGACATTTGCCGACTCTCGACTTTTTACTCTCGATCGACTCTCGACTTTTTACTCTCGACTTTTTACTCTCGACTCTCGACTTTTACTCTCGACCTTTACTCTCGACTCTCGACCCTCGACTTTTAGATACACTGTATATCAACGAGGAAATTTAAAGGGGAAGTCAAGTCCGTAATGTAAACAAACGGTTTGTTTACATTTTGAACTGCTGTATTTTTTAAAATATGATGTATTGTCGGAATATCCAACACCATTTTGATTCGCTATGCTTCTAAATGAATATGAAATAAAGTTTATGTTCAGAAAAATTCGAAATTTGGGCAATGTTCACATTAGAGGTCCTCACATTGTTATGCGCAGAACCGATGCGCAGAACGGACTTGACTTCCCCTTTAAGTGGTGGACTCGTACAGGACTAGACCTAAATTCCCAAGTCCAGAGGTGTCAAGTCCGAGTTCTTTGATATCGAGTCCAAGTCCGATGTGTTCAAGTCCGAGTCCGATGTGTTCAAGTAAGTCCGGACTCGAGTACTAAAACACTGGTTATAGTAAACTCTTGTTCTTGGTAGTACACTGCTCCTCTGGTTGTGCCATCCACTTTTGATGTTCCTTTTAAGGTATTGGAGGATTGCATCATCTCGTGTTTTTTTTCTGAAGCTCTTGCAACGATTGAAAGATACAGTACTTCACATGAACTCTTTCTCTTTTTCACTGACTTGACTTGGTGAACGTACTTAAATACGCCGTTTCTCTCTGTAGATATAAGTGCTCTGGATGTGAATTCTATTGGCTGTCCTTCTTTTAAAAGCGCCGCTCCAACTCCCGATTGTGATGCATCACATTAGAGGGTTACTTCCTTGGCGACATCGTAATAGCGTAGAACAGGATGACGTGTGATGAGTTTCTTTACCTCTTCGAATGATTTTTGCTGGTTTTCATTCCAGTGCCATTGAACATCTTTTACTTCGAGTGACGAATTGGTTCGGTGATAGTTGAAATGTTGGGTAGGAGTTTGGAAAGATAATTCACCATACCCAGAAAACTTTTAACTGAGGGTACATACATACATACATATTACTCAGCACACTCCTTGTCAGGGTTTTTCAGTGACTGGTTACATTAGAGCCGAAACTGGCGTGAAGCAAACCGAGGTAGACTGTGAGCTTACAAATAACGCTTTAAGCAGCCGCTACTAGTCGATATCTCGTTAATGATCTGCCCCCTAAGCTATGTGCCTAACCCACCCTGTCAACTTTCCCTGTGGGAGGAAACTGGAGTACCCGGAGAAAACCCACGACTTTCGGCAGAGCGTTGACTTTGCTCTTTTCACATGAGAACTGTGTTCGAGCCGCATTCAGAAGTTTTCACTGAGATTTGAACCTGCGACCTTAGAGGTGATAGGCAAGTGCGCTAACCACTTCGCCACCGAAGCCTCTGTTAGTTGAAGCATATTTTGGATAGCTTCCACTTTCTTCGGGTCAGGTTTACTTAATAATTCCATTGAATGTCAGGAGGTGACCAATGTAGGAAACTTCAGTCATCGTTAACTTCACTTTCTCTTTGTTCAGCTTGAGGTTCCTTTCGCGGGCTCTTTGCAGGGAATTTCGAGATTTTGGTCGTGATCGTTTGTTGCCGTTTCGATATCGTCACCTTCCCCACATCAACTATCATTGCCGCCCTTTCAAGTTATTCATTCTTCTCTGAAACTTTTCTGGGGCTGACCAGATGCCGAAGGGCATTCGAAGCCATCGAAAACGACCAAATGGCGTATTGAATGTTGTCAGCTTGCTGGATTCTTCGTTGAGCTTTACTTGCCAGAATCCGCTCTTTGAATCAAGAACGGTTTAGAATCTATTCAAATCCTTATTTTGTTGGGTTTGACGACTGTGACCATGCTTGACACCCAGTCTGTAGGAACATTACTGTTGTTATGATATTTTCTGTAACCATACGCTCTATATAGTTATTTCTTCAGGGGGATCTTTCAGGGTGACTGGCACTCGGCATGGAGGATGTATTACTGGTTTCACTCTTGGATCAATTTCAATTTGATAGCTTCCCTCAAGACATCTAATTCCTTTGAAAACATCAAAATATTCTTGGAAAATGTCAGAACTTGCATTCACTGACATCTCATCATGCACCACTGCATCAACATCATGCTTATCATTTGCGAGAACCTGTAAGAACTGTAACTTTAGCATGCTTCAGCACTTAGAAGAGGTTTCACATTTCCATCGACCACTTGAAATTCAAGTGTGTGCTGTGAACCGCCTGTAGTGCATTTACATTTGCCTACGGAGTGCATTACTGTTCCATTGTACGTGGTTAGTGTAGCGTTGCTCTTTTGCAACTAGAGGATTCTGGGTTTCCCATTTTCCCTTAAGCCCCAAATTCACAAGTATCAGGCAAAGTTTTCAGAACAGTTACATAATGATGAATTGACTCGCCATTTTTGTGGTTTTCGGGAAAAAAACACATATCATTTGTATATACTGTTTTTTTCTTGGGATGCAGAAGGCATCAAATTCTCCAAAACCTTATTTTCAGATTATTGCCTGCTGTTGGCCAAGTGAACGTGTTGTAAACATCAACCGCTTCTTCCCCAATCACAGTAAGAAACGTAGTGGCTCTCGTCGCATTTTCTTTCTCAGCCACTCCTGTAGCAATCTCGTACTGTAATTTGTCCATTTCTGTTTGGACGTTTTCCATTTTGGGGAAGTATTTCCTTCCAGTGTTTTAAGCGGTTCTGGCGGTGGGAGACCGAGAGACGAATTCAAAGTATAATTGTATTAATAAAACGTTCCCAACACTTTAATACAAAGTTAACTTCTTACGATCGACCCCACTCCCGACCCCATGTAAAGATATTATTTACAGTTATGAACTTTAATGTTTGTGATGTTACTCTGAGTGTATATCCACACCGGGCGAGCTTGAAAAATATGCCCGGCCACGGTGGGAATCGAACCTAGCTACGACCTTTGGAATACTAGCCTAATGCTCTGCCAACTGAGCTACGTGGAATACTAGCCCAATGCTCTGCCAACTGAGCTCTGCCAACTGAGCTAAGTTATGAACTTTATTAGTTGCACTTTTATATGGCTGTTACATTCCGTATATTTTAAAGTCCATTAAACCATGCTTTTAAACCAACAAGTTTCTGGTCACATGGTTATAAGGTCTGTTATCCGGTGGACAAAGCCCGGTTGCATGTGCGTGGAGATGCCATGTATTACAGTCCATGACCAAAAACCTAAATTAATTTGATATTTTTGTACTTTTTACTAGATGGTGAACGTTTACCCTGAGAAGCCATTTCATTTTTCTCGTACAAGAAGAACAGAATTAAACAAAATTGAATCATTCATCTCTTCCATGCCTGATGATGAAAATGTTGTTAGAACTGTTTATCTGACAGGTCAACCTGGATCTGGGAAAACAGAGTTAGCTCGACAATATGGTGAACAGTTTGAAAATGCGTCATCTGCCAGTGATACCTCAAAACATTTGGTGATTACATTGAACGCCAACTCAGAAGACTCGCTCATGAAGTCTGTTAAAGAAGCTGCGCGAAAATTACGATTGCCAGTATGTATGGAGCTAACAAACAAAAATCTTGAAGAACTGATGGAAAACCTGAGAGATTATTTCCGTGATTACAGTGGTGCTTGGCTTCTTATTATTGATGACATGTTTGGAAAGAATGACTTCAATAAGTTATTTCCACGACCTGGTGTCAAAGACTGGGGTGGTGGTCAGGTCCTGGTTACAACACAAGATAATAATCTCGTACCAGCTGGTCATCTGTTTGCAAAGCCAATCTCCTTGAACGAAGGCATGACCAAAGAAGATGCTCTTGCATTGCTGAAGGAGATCAGTGATGTTGAAGTTGATGATTTTGCTGAAGAAATCATTAAAGAGTTGCAGTCTCTTCCTCTTGCTTTGGCGTGTTGTGCAACATATGTTGGGGAAACAAGACAAGATCGTGCTTCAACACAGTTTGGATGGAAAGAATTTCTAAACCTGTATCGTGAAAATGCCAAACTTGAATCCAGATCATTTTTCAATAACAACGTATATCCGTTATCCATGAAAGCTGCTACTGCGATGGCTGTGAAGCGAATGGCAGAAACAAGTGATGTTCTACGACTAACATTTTCGTTTCTTTCATATTGTGAATTGCTTCCAGTTCCTTTGATTGTACTAGCACACCACGTCATGGAAAATCTACCAGTCCAGAATGATAAACGGCCAACAACAAAGGAAGAAATTAAAAACGAGATTTCAAGGTGTACGTTACTCGTTCACGGACGGTTACAGAACGTCGAAACAATACAATGTCATCAGGTCATTCACAATGCTTTTGAAAGTGCAGGAAACGAGAAACCTGAATTTGTTAAAATGATGAAATCCCTGAATGAGTCGTTAGATTTCATGGTCAATACGCATAAAGAAGACGTACTTTTTAAAGTTCTTGTGAGACCACACTTGAAATCGTTTGTTGATCATGCCAATGATATGTCCTGGAATGATACAGCTGAATTTCTCCTGATTTCCATGAAAGATGGTCAGTTTCTTTTTTCAACATCGAACATGCCCGATGAAAGCGCTGTCAGGAGTCTGGAATTGCTGTATAAGATTTCTTTAGAACTTGACTTATCTGACGAGAGTCGTTGTGATATATTGGCCAACCTTGGCTTCTATTATCTAGAACTAGGCCGCGATGAAGATGCTTTGAATTTTTTATGTAAAGCTTATTTCATGACTGAAGGTAAAAGTGAGAAAGAATGGTTGTTGTTAAAGTGTCGTGTCTCGTGCAACTTGGCGCGGACGTATTTCAGTATGGACAGTTTGGATCTTGCCGTTGAAATGATGAAGAGGTCGATTGACTTGGCCAAAGATGTCTATATCAAGGAAGAAGACAAAGTTATGAACAGATTTTGTTGGCTTGCTCACTTTTACTGCTTTTCGATGAGATTTTGGAAACTAGGGGCAGTTGTCGAAGAAGCAGCAGAATTTTTTTCAAGTTGCGCGCCAGATATTGAGAGTGTAAGCAGAGCACGTTGTTTAAACTATCTATCGGGTGTATACGTGTTTGGCATTATTGAATCCACTTTTAAGCCATGGAAATACCGGAAGTATATGAATTTGGCGGAAAATATTTTGAACAAATCTGTGAAAATTTATGAAGAAGTATTAGAAGCAGACGTCTTTCCCAGCCCAGAATACTGTTTTTTACTCGCCTGGTGTGCAATATTTAAATTAGAAGCCGAAAAACCAATTGAAGCAAGAACACAATTAGACAAAGCTCTTGAATATTGCTTGCGAAATGGTGACAGGTCAAGCTATAGCTGGATAGCTGCCTTTAAGAAACATTTGTGTGGCAATTCAAGTTGGTGGCAATCATTGTTTTATCGGATTCTGAACTTAACAAAGGGACGTGTAACATTTGCGGAGCATATTAACATATGTGACGACATCTTGAGACATT